CAACACCCCCTTCTGGACACCACAGGCTCCTGCACTCATGTGCACACATACTCCCATGCACATATACTACTACTGTTACTACTACTACTACTATTAACTTTGATAATTGAAAATAATAAGAATAAATATTTTAAAGTAAAATGTTGGGATGGAGAAATAGCTCAACTGTTAAAAACTAAGGCTCACAACCAAAACTGCAAAAAAGCAAATTATTCCCCAAAAGGTAATTCTCATCAGTGGTTACATATCAGGAAGTTTTCATTTTTGCCACTGGATTTGCCAAATGGTAGTCAGGCTATCATACCAAAATAGGTGTCACTGACACCATGTCAAACACACAAAAGAGTTTGGAAATGGTGGTGTGAGGGCCTCTGAGACGAGTCTTTCCAATCAATCATCAAGGACAATGGCAACAATCATGACAACCAACTTTGCTCAAAACTCCATATATTATCTGAACACTTGCAATAACTTTGTGTGGGTTTATGCAAGAACAGCCAGTTCTCACTAGGAATCACAGACTTGGTGGGTTTTATGTTTCCCTATATTCCTTACCATCTTCCCGGCCTTGCTTTAGCCTTCCTCAACAACCCATGAATCCAGTAGCCATGGAAATCCCTTTATCAACTTAGCAGCAACTAGAGAAAGACAGAACAGCTTTGGGTTCCTAGACAAAGCACTGTTTAACATGCGTGAAAACTCCTAGGAGAAGCTCCATTTGTGAAGCTTGTTTTTATTTCGGGGATTCAAAGTTATTCCATGGGAAGAGACCATGACCAGGGCATTGTTACAAACAAATTTATCAGCCATTATTTAACATTATACTTAATTGAGGTGGCACAATCAGTTCAGGCTGAAATGAATCTGACAGACACACAATGGAGAAAAACTAGGGATTTAACATTCATGAATGGCTTTGAAAACCTCCAACATATTCCTAGGAGTCTGAAAGAATGTATGTTTTTTCAAGCCTATGTGCAGGCTGAGAAAAGACCAAGGACAACCTGTTTTCTTCACCTTTGGATGAGCCCAAGGATCCATGCAAGTAGGAAGTGAAGGCTAAGGAGTTGCAACCTTCTGATGGCAGCCAATATAAAAGGACATGGGAGAAGGAAGCTTTGCTTTTGGCCTGCTTGTCCTTACTCTTGCTGACAAGTCCATCTAGCCTGCTGTTGTGCGTTCCTTTGCCAATGTTAGAAACAGTTTCTTTAGGATTCTAGTGAAGACTGAAGAGCATAAGCTCTCCAGTCTTCCTCCGGCACCAGATTGGGACTGCTGAGATGACCAGCCTTGTGGACTCAGAAACTAACAGATTCTCTGCCTTTCCCAAATAAGATAGGCATTGTTGTACTACCTGCACTACAGCCTTTCAGCCAATATAATAAATCCCCTTCTGATATGTATATTTCTAAAGGCACAGACTAATAGGATAGATGATAGCCAGATAGATAGACAGACAGATGATAGGTAAGTAGGTAGATGGATAGATAAATAGATAGATAGATAGATAGATGATAGATAAGTAGGTAGGTGGATAGATAATAGATTATAGGTAGGTAAATAGATAGATAGATTGATTGATGATAGATAGAAGTATAGAAATAGAGATACCTACCAGTTATGTTTGTTCCTTTTGAGAATCTTGATTGATAAAGTCTTTCAACACAAAGAACCCCAATGGCCAAAGCTGGGGAGCTCATTTTTTCAAAGTATCTAATCCTTACTATTCAATTAGTAAACTAGCAATTACTTACAATTCACTAAGCTAACCAAACACAAGCTTTAGTAATTCTACTTTGGTGGTTTTTGTGTAAAGTAAGAGGACAAGGTTTGGTCTCCTGCACATAGATGTCCGGTCTTCCCAGCTCCATGTATTAAAGAGTCTGTCTACTCTCTAGCATGTGTGTTTGGCATCTTTGGAACCAGTTGCCAGAGATGTGTAGTATTATTTTTTTTGGGGGGGGGTCTTCTTTCTTGGTCTTTGTGGCTGTTTTTATGCATGAACCCTGCTGTTCACCTGCTGTGGCTCTGTGGTGTGTCTTGACATTTGGTGCTGTGACACTAACAGCTTTGTTCCTTTTATTCAAGGCTGCTTTGTTTGTTCAGGATCTTTTTGTGCTTCTTTGTGCATTTTAGGATTTAGGATTGACTTTTCTAGTTCTGTGAAGAATGACTTTGGTATTTTCATGGTGGTTATATTGAGTCTGTAATCACTTAGGGTATTATGGACAGATTAAAAATATTAATTCTCTCAACCCATGAACCTGGGAGGTTTTTCCATTTTTTCATGAGTCTTTTTTTAATCAGAGGCTAGAATGAACATTTTTAAAATGTTCATTATAAAAGTCTTTTACTTCTGTGATTAAATTTATTTTTAGTTATTTAGATTTTATAATTATTACAAGAATGTTTTTATAATTTATTTCTCAATTATCTCATTATTGGTGTGAAAAAAGCTGATTTTATGTGGTGGTTTTGTATCCTGAACCACTATTGAATTCATTTATCAGCTCTTTGGATTTTTCTATATATATCATATCACTGCAAACAAGGATAATTTGACTTTCTACTTTTCTATCTAAGCCTTTTACATTCTTTTCTTGCCTAATTGATTTGGTCTAAATGTCTGATACTATAATGAATAGAAGCAGAGAGAGTGAAAATTCTCATCTTACTCCAAATCTTAGAGGAAATATAAGAAACCAACTTTAAATATACATAAACACATAGACTAGCAGTTAATGGTAGAAAAAAAAAGATATGCTAACACCAGGCAGAACACTTTCCAACAATAAAATAAAGCAAAGTTATTAATGCTAAAGTTTTACATAGTGATAGGGATCAATTCTCCACTACATTCCACTCAAAAAAAAAAAAAAAGCTTAAAATAATCTTTAAGGTGTATGTTTCTAGCCACAGAACATGAAAATCTATATGATAGAGAACAGTCAACCCAGAAAGGGATTTGGTATTATAGTTGGAGATTTCAGTCATAAGCAGATAATCAGAAGAGACCTAGATGACCTAAAACAACACTTTCAGTCAATTAAATGAAATCCATATTGGCATACTACTTTATTCAACCACAGAAGAATGCATATTCCATGACCATATGTGGTATTCACCAGAATTAACCACACTTTCTGCCATAAGACATGCCTTAATGGTATTAAAAGAATAGGTAGTAGACACTATGCTACCTCAGAGCCATAGGATGTTTAAAATTAAAAAGAGAACCTATAACAAGCATTGACAGGAAAGTGGAGAAATTAGAAGGAAGGGGAAAACCCTGTGTGGCCACACTGAAAGTCCACTTTGCAGGTCCTCAAAGGTTAAACAAAGTGATATTGAAATCTGGTTTATGCCGGTGATCATTTAAATTTTTATCTATATATAATTTTTATACATATATCCACAGCAGAATTATCCGTAAAATCTGAAAAGTGAAAACAATATAAATATCCTCCATATAACATATAAATTAACAAAATAAGATAAATCTAAGTAAAATGCCACATCATTCTAAGTGAGTCTTTAAAAACTATTATTATTATTATTATTATTATTATTATTATTATTATTATTATGTTATGTGTATGGGTGATTTGTCTACAAGTATGTCTGTGTACCATGTATGTATCTGGTGCCTGTGGAGGCTAGAATGTATATTAGGGGTTCTTAGGCACTGGGGAAAAAAGGGAGTGAATGTTCATGACATGAGGTTTAGGAAGGGCTGATGAAAACATTTCACAGTTACCTTAATATTTACACAACTCATGCCAAAAAAAAAACAAAAAACAAAAAACAAAAAAAAAAACAGTGGTCTTTTCTTCTGGCATCTTAGCTTGTGACTTCTCCAAACTGGACAGAACTCCCTTTGTCTTATGGCCACATGCATCCCAGAGCCTCACCTGGCCACTGGGATACAGATGCAGAGAGAATACAACACTGCACCCAATAGTAAACAGTTACTGTGACAGAAAATCTTACTGAAGGAGTAGTCTCCTGCAAAATGATTTTACTACAACTATAAAGTATTTTTAAAAATACTTTTATTAAATTTTTTTTCACTTGGCATACCAACCCCAGTTTCCCCTCCCGCCCCTTTTCCTACCTCTACACCTCCCTCCCATGCCACCTCCATTCACTCCTCAGAGGGGGTAAGGCTTCCCTTGGAGTCAACAAAGTCTGGCATACCAAGTTGAGGCAGAACCAAGCCCTTCCCCCCTATATCAAGGCTGAGCAAGGCATTATAGTGATTGGGCTCCAAAAAGCCAGAAGGACTTATTTTTTGAGTCCAGGCTGTCCTTGAACTCATCACTTTACTTCTGGTTTTATGCAGTTAGCAATCATTCCCAAGGCTTTGCACACACTAACCAAGCATCTGCAAACTAAGCAACATCACCAGCTCCCATTGAAAACCTTTTAATCTGTAGATTGCTTTTGGTAAGATGGCCATTTTTACTATGTTATTCCTACCAATCCATGAGCATGAAAGATCTTTCTTTCTTCTTATATCTTCTCCAATTTTTTCTGTATCTTAAAGTTCTTGTCATATAGGTGTTTCACTTAGATTAAAGTTACCAAATTTTTTTTTATATTATTTGTGGCTATTATGAAGGGTAATGTTTCCCTGAATTTTTTTTGAAAGGTCTCTTTTGTGATTTTAATTGAAGCATTGCTAATCACTTAAGTCTTTTTAAAAGCACCAAATTTTAATATCTAAGTCAATTTGGGGGTGGGGGGAGAAACACTATCAGGAACTTCTCTTCAGAACAATGATGTTCATGCCTCTGCATGTCCAAATTAAAAGTCTACTGAAACCAAAACTAAAACCCAAACCCCACACAGAGAAGAAAAGATACTAAAATCACATTCTAGGGTGTCAGTGCATTCCGAAGTCTAGGCTGGGCTATCTAATTGTCCTTCAGCTGACTTTCAAAAATTAACACCCTAGTTCATCAAAATATACATTTTCCCATTGGCTTTTTTTAAATTAAAAATAATAATTAAAATAAAAACACTTGAAGGAATTCATGACCAGTTGCCTGACTCAGTTGATGGCATATAGGGCATATGGAAGTCAGGAAGGTGGCTTGCAGCACATGACATTCAGGGGATGCTCATCTTTAAGGCTTAGCTTTCTTCCAAACAGTGTAAAATACCCACAATTCCAAGTATGAAGGGACACAAACAATCTCTTTTGAGAATTCCACAGGACAATACAGGTGCCCCAGCTGTTCTTCATAGAGCGACAGGGCTTCAGTCAAATTGACACAGTTCCCCTGTGTGAAGTATTTCCCATCTTGTTTCAGAACTTTCATTGACAGGTCGAGAATCAGTCTGAGAAACTCCCATGTGGAATCTTCTTCTGGAGATGTAGAAATTGGGACAGCTGTCAAATCATTAATCACATAATCAAACTCTCTCCCTTCTTTGGCGTACCTCTTCAGTACTGGAATACAGTCTTCTATGAGAACCTGATAGCAGTCTCCTTTAAGATTGTCTAAGACATCTCCGCATGTTCTTCGCATGTATTTCTTACATCCATCAATTACCATTTGGTCAATCTCTACCATGGTGACCATCTTTGGTTTCAGTTTGACAATTTCACATAATATGCCCCCATCTCCACCTCCCAGAATCAGTACATCTTTGCCAGTGTAATCTTCTTTACCACTGCCCATGATGGCTCGGGTGTACGCCGAGTCACTCTCTGCCAAATTAACATCACTGCTTTTTATGAGAATATTTCCAAACTGTTTTGAGTGTAGAATCTTAATGTTCTGATAAGGTGAATCTTCGTCATACACCACTTCGTCTATGTCGTATTCAACCAGGCGCCCGTGTGCACTGACTCTGCCATCCCCTGCTCCTGAAAAATGGACTGAAGGCCTTTCAGAATGGCCTCACCGTCAGCTTTGGCGCCGAGCGTGAAGTCGAGCGTGCTGTGCCTTGCTGCTGCCATAGTGTGGAGAGGCCCTGTGTCATACCTGGGGAGGCGACCGCGGGAGTCTGAGGGACCAGGCGGCCTGTCAGGCTGTGGGCATGCGCAGGAGTAGGAGGTGGGCGGGGCCGCGGGGAGCGACCCGGGATGCAGGGGCGGGGCCAACCCGCCTCCTAGAGGAGGAAGCGGATTGCCTCCAGTCCTTAACTTGGAGCGCTGGGTGTCTCCCTGAATTCTTTCTCAGCTGTTTTATTGTTTGTATATAAGAGAGCTACTGATTTTTTTCTTTTTTAGTTAATCTTCTAAACAAGCACTTCACTAAAGATCTTTATCAGCTTTGGGGGTTCCCTAGTAGAATTTTGGGGGGTCGCTTATGTATACTATCTTGTCATCTGCAAATAACGATACTTTTCTTCTTTTTAAATTTGTATATCCTTGAATTCCTTTAGTTGTCTTACTGCTCTAGCTAGAACTTTGAGTCTATATTAAATAGATATGGAGAAATTAGGCTGTCTTGTCTTGTTCCTGATTTTAGTGAAATTGGTTTGAGTTTCTCTCCATTTAATTTATGTTGGCTGTTGTATTGCTGTATATTCCTTTTATTATATTTAGGTATGTTCCATGTATCCCTGATCTCTCCAAGACTTTTTATCAAGAAGGGGTGTTGGATTTTGTCAAAGGCTTTTTCAGCATCTATTGAGAGGATTATATGTTGGGTTACATTGACAGTTTTTTGTATGTTGAACCATCCCTACATCTCTGGGGTGGAGCCCACTTGATCGTGGTGGATGATCTTTTTGATGTGCTCTTGGACTAGTTTCCAAGTATTTTATTGAGTATTTTTGCATCAGTGTTCATGAGGGAAATTGGTATGTAATTCTCTTTCTTTGTTGATACTTTGTGTAGTTTGGAGATCAAGGTAACAGTGATCTCATAAAAAGAATTTGGCCATGTCACTTGCTCAACTATGTTCATAGCAGCATTATTCATAATAGCCAGAATAATGAAAACCGGCTAGATGCCCCTCAACCAAAGAATGGATAAAGTAAATGTGGTATATTTACATAATTTACAGCTGGTATTTCTCAGCTGTAAAAAAAAAAATATATTGTCATCAGGAAATTTGAAGGCAAATTGATGGAACTAGAAAAAAATCATCCTAAGTGAGATAACCTAGACCCAGAAAGAGAAACATGATATGTACTTACTCATTAAGTGGATATTAGCTATAAAGTAAAGGATAGCCATACTATAATCCACAGACCCAAAGAGACTAGGTAACAAGGAGGGCCCAAGGAGGGGACACATGAATGTCCCTGGAAAGGGGAAATAGAAAAGATTTCCTGAGATGGAATGAGAATTTGAGAGATTGGGTTGGGGGTAGACGGAGGGGGGACAGTACTGAAAAATATGACTAGAAATGGGGGTATTTGGGGATCAGGTAGAAACCTTATGTAAGGGAAACTTCCAAGAATCCACAAGGATGATGCCAGCTAAGAGTCCTACCAATATTAGATATGTAGCCTGAATTGTCAATCTCCTGTGATAAGATTGGTGACTACCCCAGTTGTCATCAGAGAGCCTTCATCCAGTAACTGATGGAAATAGATGCAGAGACCCACAGCCAAACATTAGTCCAAGGTCAGGTAATCCTGCTGAAGAGAGGGAGGAAGGATTGTAGGAACCAGAAGGGTCACGGAATCACAAGAACACCCACAGAAACAACTAACCTGGCTCATAGGAACTCACAGAATCTGACCCAACAACCAGGAAGCCTTATAGGACAAACCTAGGCCCTTTACATACGTGTGACAGTTGTGTGGCTTGGTCTACATTTGGGACACCTAACAGTGGGAGAAAGGGCCATCCCTAAGGCTTTAGCAGGCTCTTGGGAACCTATTTCTCATAATGGTTTGCCTTGCCCAGCCTTATTACAAGGGGTAGTGCTTAGTTTTACTGAAATTGATATGCCATGCTTTGTTGATATCCATGGAAGGCCTGTGCCTTTCTGAACAGAAATGTAAGAGGAGTGTATTGAAGTGGTGGATGGAGAGGGAATGGAAAGAGAGGAAGGAGGGGAAACTGCAGTCAGGATTAAAGAAAGAAGAGAGAGAGAGAGAGAGAGAGAGAGAGAGAGAG